GCCGGAGCCACAGCTGCGCCTCAGCCGCGGAAACGGGGGAGAGCGCGTGGAGGAAGAGAGCGCAGGAGCACAGGAAGCCCGTTCCCCTGGGCACCTCTGCGCTCCATGCCGCTGTCCTCCGCAACTAGAACAGCAAACATTCCACGGTTTCTTCTTTCTATTATATCAAGAGTTAAAAGCTTAGTTACGCACTCTACCACTCTAAATCCGTATTTTTTTTCGCTATCATGCCAACATTTCTTAGCGTTCACCATGCATTTTTATAGGCCTGTTTCTGTGCTTATCTTTGCTAATACTAAGGTCTTGTTATTAAATATTTCAATTGTTAGAATGGAAACACAGCCCTTGCCATTGCTAAGCGACTTGGCTACATTTCAGTTGTCGACACACTGAAGGTGGTGACAGAAGAGACAATGACTACAATTGTAAGTACAGCTTATGTCAGTAGCAAATGAGAGAGTCCTGCCTAGGCCCATGTATTCATCTTTGTTTAGTTAGTTAAACTTCTACTGAGATTTCAGTTTAATTTCTACCAGTCTCCTCTCAATATTGTAACACGGATGTGCAGTCACACATGAGCCATGGTATTGTTCAGGTGGTAGCTGATTGGGATGTGTGCGGAGAGCACACCAACTGAGTCAAAAGCAGGCAGGGCAAATGACTGTTCATTTTTGGCATTTTTATTTAATACACATGCTTACTGCAAAAAAAAAAAAATCAAATTCACTGACCATCCTGTCACACAGTTTCTGGCTTCTTCGGAAAGATGGCTAAGGGCTGCCTATGCGGCCTGCTCCTCCAGCCCCAGCTCACCACTGACTCCTGTATCTTGACTCTCAAGAAGGCTTGTTGCAGCATTAGGGGTATTAAAGGGTTAGAACCAGTCAAATATTAGCTGTTCTGAGAAAAATGGTGATTCACAGAGTCTAAAAGATTTCTCAAAAAGGTGTTTATTCAATAAAGTTTTGCCAAATTGCTCTGTGAAGTTTGTTTTGGGGAGCCACCACAAACCACTGTGGTAGTAAAGACAAAATTTAGTCCTAAAAACATAAATTCAGAGCTCCAAATTGGCTTTTTCCATTCTTCTTTTTTTTTTTTCCTAATTAAAAAGAGAGAAGCGTGTGTGTATGTGTATTTTTAGGCATATCAGAGACAGGAAACAGTTGCTATGTGTTGCACATTTTGTCATCATCAATTTGTGTAGTCTACTAGAGCAAGTGGGTCGTTGCAATAGGAAAAGCATTTGGGATGACAGGCGGATTTTGGCTCTGCAACTTCATGTGCCTTTTCTTACTCTGGCTTTCCTTGCTGCCCCTATAATTCAGTTGCTTACATAAAATCCTCTTTGCTCTTTTTATATGGCACAAAAGATAAATCTCAAAACAATGTAACACAATTGAATATGCCCCCAAAAATCATAGATCTTTGTTACATCATCTCACTAGGTTCTCCCAAGAATACATTTTTCTTTAGAAGGATTTCAAGATTTTTTTTGTAACCTAAAAAAATCATCTGAAAAAGATTTTACTAAGCTTGAAGGATTGTCTAGCATACAACCAGAGAACTGCAGGAAAAGTAAAATCATATTTTTATGCCAAGAACTTCCAGTATGACAAGCCCATTTGTAGCTTGCAGAGTTAATGAGCTGTGTTTGTGCCTCGTGATGAAGAATGGTCATTTATTACGTTCTGTGGATGAAGAAGAGTTGTGTGAAAGCAGGCCAGGCTATGAATTGTTCTAGGAAAAGCATTTATGAGCTTAAAGGCCTATGCTATCCTAAACAATCTTCTTTTACTTAGAGAAGCCCGAGAATAACTTCTTTTAAAATTGAAGTATGCTACTTATCAGTCACAAGGGTATAATTTCCAAGGCTTGGAAACCTGGATATGAAATCTGATTTCCAAATGGAGCTTAAAAACTCAGTTCAGCTACTGAGACTGTTTTTTGAGGCATGTGGCTAAACAGCTCCCAAAGGTAAATTTAATGAAACCAGGGATGAACATAGCTAACTTTACTGAGATTTATACTTAAACACCAATAAAAATCCATTATTGCCGGAAAGAAAATCCTGTGATTTTGCTGGTTTAACAGCAATGTGTTAAAAAAAATGCAAGAAATTCTACAAAACAAAATAAGTGTCAAGCTTTTTATAAGGTCTGTGATGTTTGAGCATGCAGGAACCCTTCTGTCATAGGAGGTGATGGCAGCAACCCAAGAAACGTAAACTGCCATATGACTATTTGTGAAGCCAGGCAAAAAAATGAAATATTTTAAAATAGATGATGGTGTAAAAGCTGTTAGAGTGCACATGTGCGTTATTTGTGGGATGTATATGTAGTCTAGGAACACATTTCAGGCATTCATAACATTCCTTTTCAGCCTCTAAATTTTTCTGTATTGTTCTTTGCATCTGAATCAATATGAATATCACAGTGAAAATGAACTGCTTCTGAGTGTCTTTCAGGCAAAAATTCCTTAGGGGAGCCATATAGCCTTCATGTGGTTAAAATCGTTCTCATTTGTAGGAGAAACACACAACTCATGCTAAGGCAGCTCTGAAAAATACCACATAGATGAAACTTGTTCCTAATTATCAGCATTTTTATCTAATGGCAAAGGAGAAATGCTTCCTTCAGAAGGAAGGGCTGTATAGTGTAATACAGATTATATACTCCTGCACAAAATTTCAAAGATTATTTAGAGTTCCTTTAAAAACCCTTGGCATTCAAGGGTTCAACTCTTGGATTCAGTGTACTTGTTTCTTCTTTGTTGTGATATGATCTTTTAGCCTTTCAGTTAACACTCTCTGCTGAGAATTCTGTGAAAATTTGAATACAATTGAAAACATCAGTGTAATAATACATGTTACTGGGTCATATCAGGATAGTCTCCTTAACTGTATGTGTTTATACAAAGGAAAGTGAACAAGAAGCTACATAAAATTCTATTTTACTAATTTCATGTAAAAAATGTGACCTATCATGCAATAAATTTTTAAAGTAACAACAATTTCAGGGAAAACAATGCTTAGACTCTGAAATGATTTCTTTTCTTTGACAGACTGTTACAGAAAAGCACAAAATGAATGTACCTGAAACTATGAATGAAGTTCTTGACATGTCTGACGATGAAGGTATTCAAAATAATCCCTCGCACTTTACTTCAGTCTTCTTTTGTCAGAAGGAGAGTTGTTTAAAAAGCAAAGCAAACAAAAAATAACCATTATTAGTTGACTATTATCTTTGCATACCTGCTGTTGTTTGACATTGATTGCTTTGTTGACATATTGATGTGTTATTTAATTATCTTGTTTATTTAAATCATGCAGTTCGTAAAGCCAATGCCCCTGAAATACTCAGTGATGCTGAATATTTGTCAGATGTTGAAGAAGGTATTTGTGCATTTTTGTATTGCAGTGATGTTTAACTTGAACATCTTCCTTTTATTTCATCTCTCTGGAAATTAATCCTTCAGATAATTTTTTCTTATTATCCCACTAACAATATTTTTTGCTTCACAATTAAGAATGCTTTCAAAAATTCTTTGAGCTATTGCTGATAATCCTCTAATTTTGTCTGAATCTCTCACTTGCTGTTTTTTACTTAAATTGCTTCCACTGTCCTGGAATACTCGGTCCTTTTCCTGCTGCTTCTATAAAAGAGAGAAAAGGATTTATGACTATAATTGAAAAATTAAATATTTGGCAAAAGAGACCAGTATAAAAAACTTCGGAAGAAATAGCTGATGGTGAAAGCTAACAGTATTCAGAGAAAAAAAAAAAAAGAATTCAGATGTGGATTCAGCACTGAAATGGTTGATTTAGATTGAAATTGAGCCCTTGGCCTTGAAGAAAGTACCTTCAGGGTGAAAGAAAGAAAAATGTACAGACATGATATACAATAAAACCAGACCAAGGTGCGTTTGTCCTGTGCAAGGAGGATCATGTCCTGTGGGATAAATGTTGGTGCTTGGGTTAGAGGACGTGCCTGTAGCTGAGGCTGGGTCTGCACCGCTCTGCAAAGCGGCGCGGCAGACGCTGCAGACGAAGGCCGTGTTGCCCAGGCTCTCTGAGCTGGCGGGACGCCTCGGTGCCCGTCAGCCTGACGGGGCTTCGGTGCTCCCCAGGTATTCCCGATCTTGCTGCAGCAGCGGTTGGCTGATTCCTTTCCCCTGGAGCAATGGGGTCCCCAAACCAAACCCAGAGCGGGCAGGTCTGAGCTGATGGAGAGAAGAGCACCAGTGTCCTGGCGACTAGTGGGCTATTTGTGCCACTCAAAATATAAAGAAGTGTTATTGTAACTAACCGTAACGTTGATGCATAATAGTTGTGGTAGTTAATAGAGCAATGGCTATGGCTTTATCCCATCGCACACTGAGGAGCGGTGCCGTTGAGAAACGTTCACATATGAAATCATAAAATCAGAACCTGTGGCTTTAACGCACAGCATCATCTGCTAAGGCCCAATGCCATGCCTGAAGCAATGTGAGAGACCTGAGGAAGGTTTTTGGCTAGTTGCTTTTTCTCACTTTAACAAAACAAATTGAAAAATAAAAACTGTTTAGGAATATCGGAAATACAGTGAGTGAATATATTATGCAACCATGTTATTACTGGGGGAGCTAAGAGACGGGTTTATGTATAACAAGGTAATTTTCAAAGCTTTACTCTGAATGGGAGCCCTCAAATCAAATAGAAATAGCTATTAATGTCTGTGGAAGCTTTCCAGCGTGCCTGGCCTGCAAGAATTAGCAGGGCCTGAGGTAACTACTTCTGACCCATCTCCCCTTTAGGTCTTTCATATCAGCAAAGGTTGCCACTGCCTTTCACCACAATAGGGCATTTCTATACAGAGCATCCACTTAAGCTAGTGGAAACAAATACTTCCAAAATGCTGAAACAGTCTGGCAGATTCATTGCCAGGGAGCTCATTTCCAAGTGAGAGCAGGGCACAAATTTACCTCCCAGATCCAAGCTCTCCTCACTCACTCAAAGTTAAGGTCACCAGCCAAGCTCTTCAGGGACACTAACTTACTAAACTTCTCAACAAGCCACAAAACTTTTAAGCTAATTCTAATCATAAGAAAAGCTAAAAGCTTAGAAATTAGAGTCTCAGAGCTTGGAGACAAATGTGAGGGAAAGGTTTCTTTGAATTTATGTCTTACTGTGCCTGCTAAATAAGCATTTACATGGAAATTGTGTAATTCCTTTTCCTTGCAGAGGACCGTTTGATTTGGAGTCCAAGTAGATGGAAAGGGAGATCATGTCTTCCTTTTCCCAGGCTAGTCTGGGCATTCTACCCTGATGAGGAGGGATGAGGATGAAGTCTTTTCTATCAAAAAGAAAAAAATAGGGCAGGACATTAGTTTGAAAGACCTAAATGTAATTGCATAGGGGAAAGAAATGAAGGCTCGTGTTCTTCCACGGCAGAAAGTTTGCACTAGATGTGCTCCAAAAGCTGTCACTGCTGTCCTGGGCGGGAAGGGGTGTGAAGCGAAGGAAACTGGTGCAAAGAGAAAACGCTTCGGGTGTTGAGACTGTTTGTCCAGAAACATTGTGAGCTTTTAACTTCTTACCGGGTTCTTCAGTAGATGACAACAGGCTCTTTGGTGTGGTAAGGACACTGTTAATGGGGATTCCTGTCTCCGTGGGAGCGAGCGTGGTGCTAATCAGGTTCCTGGGAGCGCAGGGGCACCCCCGCCGCTCCTGGGCAGGCGCATGTGAGAACAGTCACAAAAGTCTTCATGAACATCGTCTTTCCTCAGCATATAACATATAATGAAAGAAGAGACTGATTGTTTTAGAAGTGGTTGCTTTATTATATTTTTATGCTTAGAGTTGTCTGAGGTTTTGTCTCTGTAATGTTTTACAGCATTTCAGTGGTTTGGCGTAGGCATTTCTCTGTATTTGTGTGAAACCAGAGCCTTGGGTACAACTAGGAGCACCCTCCTCCCTCATGAGACTGCCATCAGAGAGGTCTGGTCAGGCCGAGGCAGGGGAGAGGTGAAAGCTACAGTTGTCTCCAGCAAAGCCAGTGACAAGTGCCCACTTGGATCCCAGACTAGGATTACATTTCACCTGAGGCTTTCCCAAGCCACATGATGCCTTCTCTTCTGGCACTAAAGAGCCTCTATTTCCCACTGGCCTCGCAAAGAGCTCCTAAAATGTGCTCTTGCTGTTCCCTGTGTGTACCAGGCAGGAAATGAGTGGCCCAGACGAGCTGGAAAAATGGTCCCTTACCTTCTGCTAAGGAGACCTTGGTAAAATTGCCCGGCAGGACTTGATGAAAACTGCCTGGAGTCCTTCGGGACTGGGAAAAGGTGCCAGAGATGAGCACAGGTAGGGAATAGCTGAGGAGACTGCATAGTCCAGGAGGGAGAGGATGAGTGGTGACCAGTGAGAGCGGGTACAATAACGGGTGGTGGAGCGGAGAGCGCGGCCTGCTCCTGCCTCTTCCAGAGCACCGGAACGGGAGCGTCGGGCGAGCCTGGGAGAAAAGGGGACCCTCTTCACCCCACGCAGAGCTACTGCTTGCACTTCGTGTGGGGAGCGCACAAGGTTTGCACGGGTTCAAAAGGGAACTGGACGAATTTAGAGAGGAGCAAAAATACCTGGTCAGCACTATATAAATCCCCTGTGGGTTTAGAAACCCCATTTTCACATCACTGCGAGGCTCACAGGAGGCTGGCTGCTGGCATGGCCTGTGTGTCCATGCATGTGTGTGTATGTGTGTGTATATGTGTGTTATGTGTGTGTGTGCGTGTGTGTGTATATGTATGTGTGTGTGTATGCGTGTGTGTGTGTATGTGTGTGTCCGTGTCCGTGTGTGCTGCGCGTGGGGGCGGCGCGGCGGGGCCGTGGCCCGCGCCGCCCCCCCGGCATCCAGTTGCGGCGCCAGGACCCGCTCCTTGCAGCACCCCCTTCCCGTGGCCACAGCCCCAGCGCCCGCATGGATGAGGCCGGGCGGGAGGCTCGCCGGGAGGCGGTAATCCAATCAGCAGCAGCTTTAAAGGGATGTCTGCAGGGGGATTAAAGGGGGATTTTTTTTCTTTTCTAAACTTGAAATAACCGTAGTCGCTCTTTAGTGTTTGGGCCGCATCCGCAACGAGCTTTTGATCCGAGTTGAGGGGACAGAGATGCACATGTCCTAAAATACACGCGGAGCGATCGAGATGTTAAGAAGATCTCAGTTGTTGTGTGGAAAGCGAATATGACCCGCAGGGATTAGTTTGCTTGTGCTGGTTTGGAGATTAACTCTAAATCACTGCTTAAGGACTAATAGGACTAATAGGAATTCTTGGAAACACCAGGGAAAAAATTCTTGTAGACCAGACTGGTGAAAATGGCTTTCCAAAACAGTAAGACTTTTTAAAGTTTAATTTGATATATGATGTTTCTGTTTCTGTTTTTTAATGCTTTATGGTCTACTATGAACATCTTAGCTTTGAAATTGTTACTTAAAATAATCACTGTTGCTGGGTGGCCGGAGAAAGTTGGTCTGTTTATTTTGCTGTTTGCGAAGCAGTAGCCGAAAGGGTATTTTTAGAATTGATTGTTAGTGCAAAACCAGCGCTCGCGGCGCTTCCCCGAGCACGCCGAGCTCCGGTGAACCAAGATTGGAGAAACAGAGCCGAGTTCCTGGAGTCACTCACCTTTGCGGATAAGCTCCAGAACGTCTCTCCCGTGAACTTATACATGGCTGCAGTAAATGTGCTCCCGGGCGAGCGCGGGGCTCGCGGCA